TGTTCTCGAATGAAGACTTTTTCCTTTTTTTTCCGTTTTCAAGTGCTACATATCACCACCGCAGCCCCTCTAGCTCAAGGACAGTTTCTCGGGGGTAAACTGGGAGTTTTTCGATGGGAAGTTGGGAAAATTCAGCACGATGGTAAGTAGCATGGAAATGGAGCAAGGGGACGGTCGTACAAGAGAAGGACATTTTGAAGAGGGGGAGGGTCGCATTTAGCAGAATTTTTCTCCGACGGCAGGACCTGCTCTGATTGTATGACCACTGTGGCTTCATAGCTGCCAACTTTTCATAAAATACAGCTTACACGACCCAAAGCCGCTCGCTCCCCTGAAAAAAAGCCCATCCATTCTCTGAGCTACTACATGTCGTGCAAGTCTCGCGCTTTTCCCCAATGAACGCAGTCAAAAAAGGATGTAGAAGACCGCGATCAATGAACAAAACAACTTGTACCCAAAAACTATTGCTCATAAAGATACCTGAGTAACAGGAGAATTCTCATCTACATTCAATTCCGCTTGTGCTTTCGCAATGTTGTCCACAGAATCTGAACAGAACATGATTAAATCTCCAAGCGGGAAGGATAAAAGTACAACTGGGAGCCTACGGACCTGCGCTCGCAGAAGAAGATGGTGCTGGTGCGGACGACACAATTTGCGGTACTACGGCTCCAAGACGTGCTCCTGCTCCCTTCAAATGAGCATAATAGAAACTACAGAAACTGCGCTGAGTGAAAAATAAACGAGGAAGATAAACATGTAATAAACAATTACCATATACAATCCTTCTTGCTGGCGATCCTGGGGCTTGTCATGTAGCTGGCTTTGGCGTGGCGCAAACCGATTCTCCACCGATTTTGGAGCGCGCAAACAAAAGCATTGGTGCAAAAACGGCCGACGCCTCGCCAAACCAGCCGCCCTGGCATGCCCCGGCATCCGTAACTAACAAGACAGATACCATTTGTTTCGGTAAGCTTTTATGTATCATAACATTCAGGATTCCCTCGCGTATGAGGACAGCTGGAAGTCTACCAATGTAGAATAGTCTACCAACTGTTTAATTAGAAATCATATAATATCCAACAGGAAAGAAAAACAGAAAACTTTTTCAGCTAGCGTTGATCCCACTCTGTCACGGATCCGCAAACAGAAGAAAAGATCTCACAGATTTTTTTTCCGAAATAGCTGGACTTTACGGTCGTAGGTACTCATTAAAGCCGTAAATTGTACCACACTTCAACTAGTGGTGCTGACTTTTTACTTCGGCTGACTCTATTTATGCTAATGTTAACAAGCTGCCAACTCTCTTTATGTTAATTATTTCTTTGAAAAAAATCACCTGGAATGGCTTCAACTTCGGGGGCTCGTAGGGTCCTGTGCGTTTTTGCATACGCAAGTCGATACGTCGGCGAGGATGAGCTGCCAGCAGTTCTGCTGGTACACGGCTAAAAAAAGGTTAAAAAGCTTGAGCTCGATGAACAGTCTTTTTGAAAATGAAGGTGAAAGGAGTCAATCCGCGGTAGAAAAAACCTTGCGCAGTGAGAAAGTACAACCCTGTCAATAAGAAATGTAAAC